ATATGGGGTTCAGCTGTTTGGAACCCATAGCTAGTCTGAGAGCAACAGTCTTACTTGGAAATGCTGGGTGACACAGCCTCCAGAGTGTCACAGAAGCCTATGGTCTGGAATAAAAGTTTCAGGGAAGGAAACATGCTAGAATATGAGGGTTTGGCCTGGAAATCTGGGTCCCTGTGGCCCTGGGAAGATTCTCTCTGCCCATCCACAGGGTCTGGTCTGCTGGTTCTTCTGTAAGATGCCCACTTCATTGCAGGGCGATGTGGACCTCGGAATCAGGAGAGAGTGGTCAAGAATCAAGGGAAAGCTTTTGCAGCCCTTGAAGTGAGTCTACCTCTTTACTTTTGCCTATCATTTTTTGTTAATTAATGCAGACTCCCCAAATAAAATTTTGCATACACAGACAAAAAAGTCAAAGGCAAAAGTTGCCACTGAATACCATGCAAGTAAGATCACTACATGCATCATGACAGTAACAACAAAAACAAAAGCAGCTTTAGCCTGCATAGGAAGGTCTAACTGCAGTGTGCAGTACGTGCAGCCTGCCCTATTGTCCCCACAGCCACCTGCGGAGGTGCTGTGGACCACCAAGTTCATGTCCAAAGTCTCAAATGCTCTGAATTCAGCTGAGGTCTGCTTTAGAACTCATTTGGAGTCAAAACATGACCCAGACAGAAGCACGTCTACTTAGAGTCTTCAGTCACTCTACTTAGTATGAATGTTAATATTTTGATACAGCATTATTAATGAGTTTAATTACTGAGCCTCAGATTCCTGGGTTGTCTCCCACTGTACATTACATTTGCCATATTTCTCAAATCTAAATCTTCAGAATTTTTAATCAAACCAGCTTCCCAATAACCTCCATGTGGCTCTGGATGGTCGTGGTAGCTGTGGTCCCTGAGTTTGTGGCTGCTCCCCAATTTGCACACTCGCTGCCTGTGGGGACGTCTGCTCACCTGTCCTGCTGGGATCCACTGCCTGGGGCAGGATTCTTGGCTTCTGAATCCCAAGGCTATGATTTTTCAGCAGCTGAAGCTCTTTGTGCCTCAGTTTCCTCATCTGCACAATGGATAGGACAAAATGTTTAGTTTGAGTGGACAGAGCTGTCTTCATGTGGCTCAGTCAGAAGGAAGGAAGTGATGAAGAAGCAGGTGCAGGCGTACTGAGCTCAGGGTGACCTCTGGGCTGGATGGTATTGTGAGGAAGCTGCTCCTCCAACCCCATCCTTGGGTACATGCCACAGGCGCTTTTGTCTGCTGTTTGGCTGTGCTGTGCATATTTAATGGACCAACGGATTCTGTGCACAGGCTGGCAAATCCCAGGGGCACTTGCCACTTGTACTATCCCCCAAGCGATTAAATCAAGACTGCAGGGCTGTCAAGAAAGCAATTCTGCTAGACTTGGACATAGTTAAATTAAACCAGCCCCCATTCCATGTTTCCTTCCTTGTTTTTGCCACTCCAGGCTCTGCTCCCCCTGCAGGAGTTCATCCTTGACATTTCTAAGGTCAGATCCCAAACCTCCTAAGCAGAATTCACAAGGGACGAGATTGACATCCTTGGCTGCAGTGCTATGCTGTGTTGGCTTCAGAATTATGCCAGCTTCCTAGAAACCACTTGACATTTCAATTTTTTAACAAATGAATGAAGTGGAGCAAATGAGTAAGGAAACAGAATGATGCCTTTAATTTCAGGAAGACTTTCGACTTGTTTCTTAGCTTTCCAAGTGCAGGCTGCTCTGCACATTCTGCGCATGCCTGTTTGCTCCCAGCATGGAAAACCTGCAGACCTGCATGTGCTGGTGAATGGGCTGAACTACAGGCCAGAAACTTCGCTCCTTGGGGCTGAACAGGTCCAATCAGATGCCCACTTGGTGGGGGATCTTGTCGATCACATGGAGGTTCTCTGCACCATCTGTCCCCCTCGATGCTCTGTTCAACACATCCCTGAATGAAGCTGCACCACCAGGAGCCAGGCTGTGCTCTTCCTTGTATCTGTTTTATCTTAAGGTTCAACGTGTGTCTGTTAACTTCTTTGTTGCTGCAACCAAATACCCTAGAAAATCACTTTAGAGGAGGAAAGCTTTATTCTGGTTTGCGGTTTCAGAGGTTTCAACACATTGTCAGCTAGACATTTTCTTTTTTTTTTTTTTTTTTTTCTTTCAGAACCGGGGATTGAACTCAGGCCTTTGCACTTGCCAAGGAAGTGCTTACTCCACTGAGCCATCTCCCCGGCCCCTTAGACATTTTCTTTTATTCTTTTTGTGGATACTGGGAATTGAACTCAGTACCTTGCACTTGCCAGACAGGCACTTGTGCCACTGAGCTGTATCTCTGGCCCCCATCATCAGCTTGATCTGTTGCTTCTGTTTGGTTTTGGTGAAGCCGAAGCATCATGGTGGAGAAGGGGTTGGCAGAGGAAAGCTGATCACTTCATGGAAACCAGGAAGCACAGCGAAGGAAAAAAACCAGGAAGGACAAGACAGTCTCCAAAGTCATGCCCTAGTACCCACTTACCCATTGCCTTCCACTAGACCCTGCTTTTCTCTAGCCTAGTGAGCTACAAATGCCTCAGTAGCTAAATCCATCCATAAGGCAGTGCTGTCATGGCCTGCTCTCTACCAAGAACTCATCAGCTGGCCTGTGCAGGATATTTTGATCCAAAACCACAACTCGCAATATCCGGAGTAGCTTTTAGGTGAAGTAGCTTTGTGACAACCAGCCACCACCTCCAAATTGCAACGTCCCAATTTCCTACCGGAGTCTTTCCCTGACATCTTTCCCAGGACCACATTTTACTTCTAGAACATGGACTTTGTCTAGAGGCTCAGGTCTGAGTAAAGGAGTCTGTCCCTGGGTTGGATCCAGCTCACTAAGGCTTGTTTTGGTTATTGGGGTCTCTGTCAATACTGTCGCTGGACTTTAATAGGTCCTTGCTTTGGAGTGTGCCAAGGCCAGAGGACCAATGTTAAGTTTTCTCTGTTAGTCACTGTGACTCTGTGGTCTGACTGCCTCCACTGAGGCCAATCTTTTCCCTAGCACTATTTGCTGAGCTACCATCCGCCTTCCCCTTGCTTTCAGCTCCCAACCTCTGTCCTGTGGTTCCAAGTCTCAGTGTATGCTGAAATCTATCTTTGTTGAATGTCTTCAGTAGGTTGAGCTAACTGGCCCCTGGGGTTTCCCTAACCTGATAGCCTGAAAGCTATACCAGCCTCTGGCTTGGGGAGTGGACTTTACAATTTATAGAGGTTTCTGCCTGATGTCCTTGTCACATTCTATTGGATCTCATGTGCTTCTTTGAAGTGTACATGGTTTCCAAGAGCAGAAGGCATTCCAAACAGGGTTTGAAGTCCAATGTACACTTACATCTCAAATCCTTCTCTGTGTCTTGCATTTTTTAGAAAAGATATTTCCACTTCTTGCATGGAAGTTTCACCTCAGATAGGTATTTCCTTGAAAATATAGCTAGTGAAGATTGGAGCTAAGTTTCTCTTAAATTGGATATAGTTTAGATTCAAGAATTTAGGAAATGTCTGGGATTCCATCTTTCTTCCATTACTTTGTACCTCCAAATGCCAACTTTCCCGTGATAGCTTAGTGTTTGCAGATACAGGCTTTAGGACAAGACAAATGTAAGTTCTGGTGACAGAGGCAATACATACAGCAAATCTGTATTTCAGTAAGGAAACACAGGAAGACCCTTGCAGTGAAGTGGCACAGAATAGCAATGTGGGCAAGTCGTCCCAGTCCTGGTGTCTCAGAGCCTTTGAGTGACTCTCTTTTGTTCCCCTTTCCTGTTTCCAGCTGGTTGGATGTAGAAAACTGAGTAGAGAACTACAGTGTTTTAGTGGAAGGAGGTTGGTTTCTAGAGTCACTGCATGGAATGCCCCTTGCCATACTCCAAATAGTATGTGAACAGAAATAAAACTTTGATGGTTTTAGCCACTAACCTTGGGAGACCTTTGTTATGGCAGTCATATTTTATATTCACTAATATAGTTCTGAAGTCAGTTCTACAATGAACTATGCAATGTTGAGTAGGTGCCTTAAATTTTTCAGTGTTCTCATCTGTCTGAAGCTTTCCCTGCAGTCTTGAGATGAACATTACAAGATGCCATCTTCCCAGGAAGAATGGACCTTTTGTGGTTGCTTACCTACCCTTGATTTTCTTTTTTCTTTTTATATTTGGTGGAACCGGGTATTGAACTCAGGCCCTTGTGCTTGCCAGGGAAGCACTTATTTTACTGAGCCGTCTCCTCGGCCCCCAACCCTTGATTTTACGTTACTCTCTTGACACACTGGGGTTGATCCCAATCCAGGGCATTTGCCTTTGGTGCTCCTTCTGTTCAGATTATTATTCCCACTTCTTGTGAATTTCCTTCACAAGGCTAATCTACAGAGTCATGCTCCCAAAGGAGGCTTCGCTCGTGATTCAGCTAAATGTTTGCTCTGAAATTAAATCTTTCCTTTGTGATTCAGCTAAATCCTTTGTGCACAGAAGTGCAATTTCTTTATTGCATCTACCTATGTCTGAGAGTAGATTATTCATGTTTTTATAAGAATATTACCCTTCAGCCAGAATATTAGCTCTGTGAGGAAATAGTTTTGCCAGAATGCATTTGGAGCACAGGATAGCTCAGGCATAATAGAGGTAGTCAATAAATGCTGGTCAGAGGGATGCTCAGGAACTGGGAGAGTTATTGGAAGTCATCATGTAAATGAGTTGGTACTTGGTTGAGCATATTACAAATATTCCAAAGCTTGTGGCTGTTATAGAGTGTTGATAGTGCTAGTTCTGTTTACATGTTCCCTTTTCCATTTAGTTGTGAAACTCTCAAAATCAGAAACTACTATTGCCTTACATTGTCAATAAATTTGCATAAATAAGGTGATCAATACATGTTTGTGGTGTTGGCTTCAGCAGCATGGGTATTAAAATAAATGTGATTCAAGAGGACTTCATATCATCTGCCTCATACAAAGACCAACAAAATTGTCCTTATTGTAAAAAAAATTAAACCTTTTTATTAGTATATTTATTTTATATATAAAAGAAATACAAAAAAGAAACACAAAGAAAATGCTTTTATGGCAAATCGGATTTGTCGGTGCCTTCGGCTTGTGCTCCTGGCTCTGGCCCGGTGGGTGTCAGCAAAGTCCGCCGGTTGTAATGGCCTTTGATGATGCCTGTGTTGTTGTTTTCGTTGAGAAGTTGTTTCTGCCTTTGCCTGTTGAGGGACTGGACGAGGCCCAGGACGACCGCAGCCAAGGAGTACTGGCCAGGCAGTCTTCTCGGGGGCAGAATGAATGGGTTGGGTTGGACTCTTCCCAGCAGAAAGTACGTTTTGATTTTTCCTTCCTGCTCACTAATGCCCTTCACGTAGATCTCCCCACGATAGTCGAAGGCAAAGCCCTGGTCTTTCAGGATGAGATAGGTCTCCTCGGGGACTTGGATCCGGCCACTCACACCTGTGCTGTCCATTCGGCTCGCCAGGTTCACAGTTTTGCCCCAAATGTCATACTGTGGTTTCTTAGCTCCGATCACGCCAGCTACCACGGAGCCATGGCTGATGCCTGTGAGTGAACCAAAGGAACAAGGGGTGAGAGGGAGAAGAGGACAGTGAGATGCCACCCCAGCAGGCAGACTGCCCACCACTTATGCGACCTCTGTAGGTGGGCGGTGGGGCCCAGGTCCTGCTTCAGCAGCTTATTTGGGTGTGATATGTCTGGGTCAGTTACTTAACTTTTTTGGATCTTGGTAATGTAAGTAAAACCACTGGCAGATTGTCTGCTAACCAGCAAGTGTTTGATATCAAAGCAGCACTGTTTTCTCAGGGCTGCTAAGTGGCCTGAGAGATGACCAGAGCTTTGACCAGGGGGCCATCAGTCTGTGGCTTCTGTCCATGCAGCCCCCCTAAGGACCAGGCAGATCTTTTCTGTGCCTGTTTTCACTCAGGCCCTCATCCTATCCCCCAGTCCACGAGGATGGTCTCCTAATGGCCTCCCTTTCCTGTTCTTTGTTCTTGAACAGCCCATCCTAAGCCGAGACATTTATGCAAGATGCCACCAGCCGTAAGAGTAACTCAAAAGTTCCTGAAAGAAGCTGATCGTCTGTGAGTCTGCCAAGAAAAGGGCTGAGAGGCTTGGGGCCCATTGGTGGCATCAAGTGCACAGGAATTCAGTGGCCTCTGGATTGAGTTGACCACGACCACCTGGTGGCCCACATCTGTGAGCAAGAAGCTTCATCATACAGAACCATGTCCCTGGCCAGAGGCAGCTCCTGGGCTTGCACCCACCCCAACAAAACAACACAAGCTTGCTGTCTGCGTTGTTCTGGAGGTAGCAGCTTTGTCATGCTTCTTGCCCTGCTGTTGATCCCTTTAGCTGAGGTCTTGATTCGCTGGCCACTACTGCCCCCAGGAAGAGCTTCACCTGGGTAAGAATGTATGAGCAGTGTCTGGCCCAGTCTCATTTCTACCACCTTTTAGTCAAAAAGCCCCACTGCGACTTTGACCTCTAGGCTAATGCTCACTGTCCAGCTTTCTCAGGCCTGCGTTCTGCCTCACTTGCCTGCCTCACTGATCCCCACCAGCTCGTGTGCCCCTCCACAGTGCCCGTGCCAGTTCCTTCACCCACCAGCCACGTCCCCCTTGGTGCCTTGGCTCTGCCCTTCTCTCTGTTTAGACTCTTAATTTCTCCCAGTCCTATAGTTTATTTGGTAAATATATATATGGTACTAGGGATTACAGCCATGTTCTTTATACCAAACTGCATACTTAGCTCTTCTCTTTATTTTTTGCTCTATTTTTTAAAAAAATTATTTTAAAGGTAGAAACAAAACCAAAAAAAAAAAAAAAAAAAAAAATAGCAGAAGCAAAGACAGAAAGTAACAAATAACAATACATATGGTATGTAACTTCGAAACAAGAATAAAAATGTAACAATGGCTGTTGTATTATCTATTTTCACCAGATTTGTCTTCTTTTTATTTTAGTTTGAGATGGTATCTGACTAAATTGCCTAACCTAGGCTCTGATTTGTGATCCTTCTGCTTCAGCCTCCCAGAGTCTGGTATTACAGGCATGTACTGCCATGCCTGGCTAGTACATGCCTTTAAAGATGGTTTCTATGCTTCCTCCTTTGGGATACCTGGATGTCTTTTCTACAAATGAAAGCATTTCACTAAATGTGTTAATGGCCATGTAGGTCTCCTATAACAGAGTTGGAATTTTGTCATTTCACCAGGTACCTGCTGTGTGGTGATAGATGGTAAAGAAAAGAGACATAATAGCCCTCAGAATTAACCTTCTTCTGGACAGAGACCACAAAAATAAAAAAGATAATATAATGTCAGCAAACAATAGAAGCAGTATCAATTAGTATAGAGGGACACAAGGGGGCAGGAAGGGAACATTTTGGAGAGTTGTAGTTAAGGAAGGCCTATTGAAAAGCCTAAGAGAATGTTTTCTCTCCATGTGACTTTCCTTAGGCACACTCTACATCACTGATCACTTTCTTCTGTTGCCCTGTAATCTTGATCAGAAAATTTGGGACACAACTGAGTTACATGATTTTACAGTACAGGTTCTCCTATGTCCTGAGTCCTCACTGACCTTGAAAGGCAGCCCTTCCTTTTCTCTAATTTTTGGTATACAAACTTAAGTTGTTAACCCTCCGGATGAGAAGCTTAATGACATTATTACCCTACAACATAGGCAGTTGAGCTTAACCTCACTGTAACTGTCTCATTGCTATTTGTTTCTCAATAAAATTAAAAAAAAAAGAAAAGAGATTTGAGAATCCTAGTAGAATCATGCAGATATTTGGGTAAAATTAGTCCAAGCAGGGGCAAGACAAACACATGTACACATTTATATATGCACATGCTAACACACGCTTCCTTGCCAGAGGAAGTTCCTGGGCTTTCACGCACCCCAACAAAACAATACAAGCTTGCTGCCTGCTTTGTTCTGGAAGCAGCAGCTTTGTCTCTCTCTTGCCCTGTCGTTGATCCTGTTAGCTGAGGCCTTGATTCAGTAGCCACGACTGCCCCCAGTAAAAGCTTCCTCTGTTTAAGACTGTATATGAAGTGTACACACAGAAAAAAATCACAATGAGAGCGATCTCTTTAAAGCACCTAGAGCCTCTATTCCATTTGATGTTCAGGTAGCTTCTATGAATTAGGTAGGTGGAGGAGGTGATAATGTGCCGTCCAGCCTTTAAATGAGAGAATGGAGACTCAGGGAGTCCAAAGGCATGCCTGAAGTTAGACAGCCAGTGGTAGCAGATGGGAAACAAATTGAGGTTCTTAATACAATTGGGAAATTAATTTTATAATCTCTGATATCAATGAATATGATACCAGCAGTCAGAGCGCCAATAATCAAAGGTTGACCTCGGTCCCAGGGACCCCTTTAGAATTTACTTTGCAACACATCTCTGTTCAGGGTTAAAGTTCTCTTTTACTTCCTGATTCAATTGTGTAGCTAATGAGTTCAGAAAGGACATTCAGGATTGATGAAAGATGTGGGAATAAGCTCTGAACATTCCACTCACAGATCAAAAACATAAAATATAACTTTTATTCCAAAAAGAGAAGGTATGTGGCTTTCTTTAGATCTGATGAGTCCATCACTGGTATTTCTTGAAAGCTGCTCAGGGAGGATGTCTATAAGTGGGGACAGTGTTTTATGGTTGTTTTAAATTACACCGTGGTAGACAGAAAGTGATTCATCTCAATCAGGAAGTCCTGGAGCTACCTCTGGCATGACTGTCTGTGTGATGTTAGGCTAGCTCGTCCCTTTTGTGGGCCTGAGTTTACTCATCTATCAAATGTGATTATGGAGTGGAGCAAGAGATTTCAGATTGGGCTTTGGTAAGCGTAGCAGAGGTGCAGAAGAAATTGGCAAATTATGCAAATCTCAGGGGATTATTGCTCATTCTCAAGGATTACAGTTGTGTTGCAACTTTGGACAGGGATATCCCTAGTCTGAAGAAGGGTGAGTTCTGTGGTTGAGTAATGTATTATAAGGCTCGGTCTGTGTCGGTGGCTCAGTATAGTATCTGACACGCTCCAGAGCCAACTCCTGACCCTGCCTGAAGGCATTGTCCTTGGTGATCAGAGTTATGGTTTATGTCTTAAAGTATCACCAAACTGTCATGGGTTCAGAGGTTGGTCTTTAAGAAGTTCATTGGCTTATGAGGTCTCTAACTTTATCAGTGGATTAATCCATTAAATAGATTCATGATTTGATGGCATTACTGGGATGTAATGCAAATGTAGGAGGTGGGGTGTACTTGTAAGAAGGGGGTCAAGGAGATAGGACGTGGGGGACTGTATCTATTCCCCAGCCCCTCCTCTCATGCTCTTCCCTGCTGGCTTCCATGAAGCAAGCAGCTTTCTCCCACCATGCTCTTTGGTATGGTGTGTCTTCCTTTGCCTCAGTTCATCAAAGAGTGAAATCTCTGAAACCATGAGTTAGGATGTCACTGCCATTTGTAGCATCACAGCCTTTTTAATGAGGACCTTGGATGGGAAGGACCTTGCATGGATGGGATACTAGACTACGCACTTAGAAGAGATGCTAGCCACTACCTAGGCCCTGTTAAGATAAGTGGCTTTGTATTTCTGCACACAGGTCAGCATTCTGCCCTTGCCTCCCGCATCTTGAGCAAGAGGAAGAAAGATCTGAGCTGACTCGTGGCTGCCCTTGTCGGGTCAGAGGAAGCCTCTTGCGTTTCACAGCAAAAAAGCTTCCAGGGTTGGTGGCCATGCGTAGGAGGGGCTGAAGGGCTCAGCGGAGCACCTAATTCCAGCAGCGACTCACCGATACGGAGCTCAAAATTGTTGAATGAGTGCTTGTTGATCTCCTGTATGCTTTCGGCCAGCGCGAGAGAGAAGTCTGCCAGGGCACACAGATGTCCCCACTTGTCTTCACATTGCTGCATTAAAATGAGAAAAAGCGACACTGAGCATGATGCACGGCAGCACAGCCGCGGTGGCGGCACCCTGCACTAACCCCGCCGGAGCGTCCCTCAGGAGAAGCTCATGGCCGTAAGCCCCAGTCATCAGAGTCCTTGGGGCACGGATCACAGGAGTTTCATCCAAGAGAGTGTGGTATGTGTGGCTCATAGCACTCCTTCTTTCAACGTGCACTTGTCTGCTAAGCTGACAGGGATTCCTATGTGTGTGCTCACTGGGGTGTGCATGGGCTCATTTGTGCGTGTATTCGTGCATGTGTATGTGTGTATATTGATGCTACTGTGATCGTGTATGCAGCTTACCCATTCTAAGAACAATGTTAATTTCTTTTGAAGCGCTTGCCTTTCCTGTTGAAGGGATGTTTGCATAGACCTCTGCTTATGAAGCTCCCAGGGAAAGTGCAGGGCAAGCCCGTGTGCCCTGCGCAGTTTCCAAATCCGCGAAATGGACACAAGCACAATTGCTCCTACTACCTCTCAGAGAGGAAACGAGATGACATATGTGAGAGAAGTCTGCCTGCAGAGCAGAGGTTGGCACGCAGGTTCAGAGAAAGCCAGATGGGAAACATTTTAGGGTTTGCACACCATATGGTCTTTGTTGTGACTACTCAGCACTGTCAGTTTTGGTTTTAAAGAGAAAAGGATGAAATGTAAATGAGCGAGGATGGCTGTGTTCCAATAGAACTTTATTTACTTCAACAATGTGAGCCCTACGCTTCTGATCCCTGCTACCGTGTACCAGCATGGCTTTCTTGCCAGATAGTTAGTCTTGGAATATTTTTTGGGCTTTAGTTGGAATGAAAGCCCATACAGGAGGAGAATAGTTTAGGGGGATTCTCTCTTCCCCAATAACTTAGACTCACATGTATTGCATATTTGTTGAGGATTTAGAACATGCAAGGCTTTGTTTAAGGAGCCTATGATTATCTCAGATAATTAATCCATTAAGCCTGAGGGTCCCCATGCATTAGTGCCTGGCACTCAATCAACCCTACAAAAAGCAGAGACTATTACTGATATTATTACATAATGACTTTTGAAGGAGAAAATGAAAGATTACGAAAACAGGCTAGAAAACTGCGCTTAGTGAGAATCGTTTCTAAATCGTAATCAGGGCATTTTTCTCTCGGACATTTGCTCAAGTGAACAGTGAGGTTCAGAACAAAGCCTAGAAGTTTCTTGACAAAACAGCCGAATTCCATCCAGCAGACCTTGACCTGGGGAACACCCATATTTCACATAAGGGCTGTCGTCCACTGTCGCAGATTGTCTCCCCAGCGCTCTCACTGGAGGCGGCTTCACCATCTTTAGGGATGCGGCCGCAGCGTGGGCTCTGCATAGGTGTGACCGAGTCCATTCAGTCCTCCTTACCTGCTTCTCTGGGGACAGGCCTGACACTGCCATATAGGTGCTGCCGATGGTCTTAATCTTTTCAATGTCTTGAAACCGGTCCTCACCCAGCAGCTGGAACAGATCCAGGCAATGGTGTTAGTTCTGGTGTTTACCCTCCCACAGGAGGCGGGGCCCTGCAAACTGACCCCGGACTCACAATGAATGAAGAGCTAACTCAGACAGTCCAGGTCCTCAAGGAGGCTGTTTTTTCTCAGGGAGGGTCATGCATTCATCCAACCAACAGAGATTTTTTGAGCCCTCGCTAAGTGCCGGGACCCCAGATGAATGTGAGCAGATTTTCTTGATGGAGAAGATGTGCTTTTATGAATCATTGACATAAACAAGGCTACCTGAATAGCTTAAAGAAGAACTAGCACAAAGTGTTCCCAAATCATCAACACATCTTATTGGCCTTCTTTTCAACATGGTGAATCCAAGCATTTCTCAGCACTTCCTTGGGGGACCTAGTCTAAGCTGCTCTGAGACTGTGGCTGGGCCCTTGGCATACTCTGCTGGCTCCTGCCCTTGCCTCATCTTGTCCAGCCTGGCAGCCAGATGATGGCATCCTCAGATGAGTCTTACTGTGTGAAAAACCCTCTAATTGCTTGCGGCACTCCTCAGGTTCAGAGCCAGTCTGCCCCGAAACCTTCAAGGTTCTTCTCCTTACTGTCTTGTTGGCTCTGTTCCAGGTACACTGCTAGTATTAGAACAAGCCAGACATGCTTTACCCTCAGGACACTTTTATTTGCTGTTCTGCCTCTTAATATTCTTCCCTCAGACAATGACTTGGGCATCCCATTTTTACATACATGTTCTCATCTTCCTTCCATGTTTTATTTTTTAAATATTTGGCCCTAGTTTTCTTATTCACTGTCTTCTTCCTCATGGGAATGTGAGACTCCTGGGGCAGGTACTGCTGCCTATTATGCTTACTACTTGTCATCCAGACAGAGCTTAGAGCATAGTAAGGATGAATGAATGAATGAATGAACGAGTGCAGAGTGCATGATTAAATCAAACAGTGGTTATCGTCCATGACATTTCCTTCACCTTTACCTGCAGTTTTTGCTTTAATGCTAAGTAAGGGAAGCCTTGGTTTCTTAATAAGTGACATTGGAAGGCAGAAAAATGCCCCCTGATGAGCCCTTGGGAAGTCCCTGCAAGCTATGAGCATGTTACCTTACACAGCAAAGACACTCTCCTCTGCAGATACGATTAGGTCAAGGATCTTGGGATGGGGACATTTCCTGGGTTTTCTGGAAAGCTCAATCAAGTCGTAAAGATTGTTAAAAGGGAAATTTGAAATCAGGGAAAATAGAGCAGGGGAAGCAGAGGTCAGAGTGATGTGATGGTGGTGCTGGGCATGATGGAAGAGGCAATAAGCCAAGGAATGTAGGTGTCTCCAGTAGCTGGAAAAGGTAAGTGGATCCTGCCCTGAAACCCATTGAGGACACTGGGGTTGCCCACACATGGATGTTAGCCCAGTGAGGTCCAGAGAGAACTTCTGATCCCAAATCGTAATGCAATAAATTTTTGTTGTTTCCCTCACAAACCCTGTGGTAGTTTGTTCAGCAGCAATAAACAACTGATACATAGATCACTCATTGAGTACCTACATATTTAATAATCTACAAGGTACCAGCAATTGGTGATTGCTCATGATCCTTGGGGACAGATGCTGGGTGGTATTTGGATAGCTTCTTACGTTAGGATCTTAACAAGCCTTCACTGAGCCAGTAATTATTTTATGTTCATCTTATGTAAGAGAAACATGGGGGCTGACGTTATTGCTTAAGTCACTCCACTAAGAGGAGTCCTAGAATTAGATCCCTGATGCTTGACTCCAAGGTCCTGCTTGCTTGTCCTGCACCCTTGCCTGAGAGCACGTGGTCTCACTAGTATCACCAAAGATGGGAAGCCATCATCCAACCCATATGTACTGAATCAGCAACTCTGGAGGGATTCTTAGGCAAACTTTCCAGATGATGCTGACATATATTCAAATTGGAGAAACACTTCTTTAATTAAAGGAAGAGAATGGCTTGCCTGGGGGTAGAATTACCTTATTCATTCAATTCTTCATTCAGTGGTTGCTATTGAGTTCCTGTTACCTTGGAGGCACTGGAGTAAGCACTAGGCATGCAAGGTTGATAAGATAACCTTTGCCTTCAATGACTTTGTGGTGTCTCCGGTTGATTTCACCACATGTCATGGACAATGGCATCCTGCTCTGAAGACTGGTGCTAATGTAGATTTGAACTTTTCTCCCAACCTGAAATTAAAGCCATACCATTGTGCAGTGTGTTCTATCTAAGCATCAAGTAAGCTACAGCAGGTTGTAATGCACACTTGCAGATGTGAGTGTAGCAGAGGCCCTTGGGAGGTCTTCCACACCCTCTCCTCTGGGCCCTAGCTTTTCTCTGCCTTATCTCTGCGATTGCCCTCCAGGTTCTCCCCTGGCTTTATCTGATTTACTTCCTGATCTCCTCTAGGACTTACAAGAAGTGGTCAATCTATATAATTGACATTTAATTTTTAAAAATTATTCCAGGACACTATGTTGCCACGAGTCCCTCTCCAGTACTTCCCCTTGCTTGAGCATTTATCCCACCCCTCTTGCTATTTTCTGAAGCACTTCTGGAAGTCCTCTTCTGTGAAAATCTCTAGCTATATTCTTGTGATTGCCTGGATGTCTTGAATCAATTCAAAATGTTTACCTTTCAGGGTCATTTTGACTTTGGGGGAGAAGCCAGGAGTCACAGTGCTTCAGATCTGGTGAATAAGGTGGCTGCAAACACATCCTACTGTTTCTGTTTGTAAGACATTTGTGAAAACATTTTGAATAGATTTAGGACATTGAGGCAGCCATCAGAAGAGACCCACAAAAGAGGACTTGCAGAGCTTCTGCAGGAATTGGCAACGGCAATGGGATAAGGCATCTGGAGCAAGAGACAGTATTTTGGGGGGCCTGAAGGCAGTGTGTCTTTTATCTTTTAATGTAATATATTTAAAAAAAATTTATGTAAATGTCCTCTGAATTTTGACTGCATGCCACTTCTTCAGTGTGCATTTTTGGGTGCTCCTCAGTGGCACCATGGGTGTCCAGTGGTCATGGCTTAGTTGGGACAAAGGAATTTCTTGAGATGCAAGACTTTCAAGGTCAACACCAGGAAAGTCTTCAGCAAACTGATGAATGAATGGGTCCTTCTGATCATAATCTTCCTCTAAGATTCCTTTCCCCTGTTCTCTGGGTACATAATCTGCAGGGTCCAGTGCAAGATGAAAACATACAATTCCTTGTTCAAAAATGAAAATTTCCGTAAGTGTTGACAGCAGGACTCCAAGCAGCTGCTAGTCTTTTGCGTGACTGCCCCGGCTGAAAGCTGTTCAGCCAGCCCGGGATGGAAGAGCAAAGTTTAAGTTTAAGTCTCCATGGCTTCCAAACTAAACTCTGGCCTCTTATTTCTCACTGTTCCCTCACTCTTAGCCTCTCCTGAGAGCTGAATAGCTTTGGAGTCTCATTTTCTGAGAGTAGACAGGTGGACCAGACAGAGTTGAGAAGGTACTTTGCTATAAATATATCTCAAAAGTAACCAGGAGTTAAGAGAGTTCATGCTTAAGGTCTCTGTTGGGGCCATGGGAACACAGACCAGTGTTTTGGTGATGTGTTCTGTGCCCATGTGTGCATGTGTGCGTGCATGCATGCATGCGTGCATGTGTGTGTATGTGTGTTTGTGTGTAGCTTGTGTCACAGAGGAGGCAGTTATTACTGTTCATTATTTGTGTTACCATTTGTGTTTCTGGAGCTAACTTGAATCTGCCTTCACTGAGAGTCTCCAGCTTGGGTTTGGGTACACAGTCTTCAGAAGCCTTTGTGCCTGACATTTACCCTTAGACACAACCCACCAGATGTGGTTTTTCAGCAGCTCTTCCACCGTTCATATTTTAGCTCAAAGACCCTGGATGCCATCAACTGCCCATTTCTCTCCCTCTGCCTCTGGGCATTATGTTTTCTCAGCTTCTTCCTGTCTGCAGGTGGCTCTGGTGTGGTCCTGAGGAAGTGTGTACCAGGTTCCTAATGTTTTCTTCTTCCCTTTAGAATTACCTGGTCTAGCAGCATCCATTTCAGACCCTAGCAAAGTTGCCTTTTCAGAAATAAGTTTGACCCTGGGGCGGATAGCCTGAAGGCAATATAAAGAGGGGATGCCGCTGCTCCACCCTTTTTGTTTTGCTGTGTTCCTCCATGAACTACTGCCCTCTACCATCTGCCACCCTGCCTTGGATCCAGCCAAGTATGGACTGAAATCCCCACAAACTGTGAGCTAAATAAACCTTTCCTCCCTTAATTTTGGGTGTCAGGTATTTTGTCCCAGCAATGAGAGAAAAGTAACTGAGACACCCAGTTTCCAACTTCCTTCTGCAAACACCCGAGTCTGCCATCACAGGCACTGCCATCTTCTGTTTTTGGAAGACTCCCAGATATGCCCAATTTTGTGCATGGAGAGGTATAAATTTAGATCAACTTTGCTTTGTTTATTAAAGTTTAAAAATATGCCTGTGAAGACTTTTGGGAGACAGAATGCAGTAGAATTTAAAATAAAGCAAAACCAGTTACCTCAACATTTAGTCAGATATTTTTAATAGAAGAATTTTTACTTTTTATTTGTCAGTATGTTTTGGATTTCAGTAGCCTGTCTTCATCTTACTGTTTTTCAACTGGCTTCATATTAGGGTCTCTGCTAGGCCCTGGGGACTTAACAAGAGCAAAGCAAGAGTACAGTTTCTATCCTCATGAGCTTGGGACCGCGAATGGAAGATAAGCGTAAAAGGTAGAGTGAGTTGGCTCAGTTCAATCATTCTACAGTGTATAAGTTCATCAAAGCATCCATTAGCTCAGGTGAGAATTGTGACTGTTAATTAAATCAGGTACTGGGATAGATATATAGTTGCATTCTCTTAATGAATAGAATGATTTGTTCTAATGGTGTTTGTAAATAGGATCACAAGTCCGCATCTTGTACAGCAATTAACCACTAAGAAGAATATATGCAGTGTATTATTTGTTGAAACTGTCCTTCCGATTTGATTTGAAACTGTCTCATTGCTATCTGCTTGTCAATAAAACTTTGAAAAAAAAATAAATCAGGTACTACGCGTCTGCATGTATAGTGCAGCCTGCAGTTCTATAAGTGTAACAACAAACTCCACAAAAGGTCATTCCTCCAGGGAATCTCACAGTGCTTATGAAAATGAGGCCCATTTGCGACTGTGCCTTCCAAGGCTGAGATTCACCTCATCGAAGTCAGCGATGATCTCGTTCAGCAAGCGCAGACATTCTACGCCTTGGTTGTTCATTTCAGTCTGAGAGTAAAAGTCTGCAAACCCTGGGATGGAGGCAAACATCACCCCAACAGCATCGTAGGACTGAGAATACAGCTCCTGGACAGAGAGACACGGGGAGAGCCAGAGATGATCAGCAGAGGTAGGTTCGGTAATGATGTTATATGTGCATGTGTATCTGCGTGTGCGTAGATACACAGTCAGGCTGCCTTCACCAAGTCCCTTAGGCTGGGTTGCTTATGAAGAGCAGTTATTTATTTCTTACAGTTCTAGAGGCTGGGAAATCTGATGCCAAGGCTCTGGCAGACTCAGTGTCTAGTGAGGGTCCACTTTCTGGCTCATAGGTGGCACACGCTAGCTGTGCTCACACGATGGGAGGGGCTAAGCAGAGCTCTGGGGCTTCTTGGTAAGGCCACCAAGCCTGCTCATGACCTAATAACTCTTACAGTCCCCATCTCCTAATGGCACCACCTTGGAAATTAGAACCTCAACAGGAGAATTTGGAGTGATACAGCATTCTTGTCACTGCATCATAGGCAGAGCGTTATCATACTCTATCCTGGGACCATCAAACACACGTGGTTGGCTGGGACATGAGCTCCACTGCCCACTCTTTTGCCCTTGGCCAGCTACTTTTTGTGCTCATCCTCACAACTGGTCCAGACTCTCAGCGCTCTCCGTACCCTAATCCTGTGCTCGAGTCCATCCAGTGGACGATTACGTCTCCCACCTTAGAGAAAACAGTTGCTCTAGGTGACGACACAGCTGTTTTAATCATCATCACATGTCGATGTTCACATTAGCTAGCCTCTCCTGTTTCCAGTCCAGACCACACACTTTGCCTTCAACTGAAGGTCAACGTTTCCACCTGATCCCTAGACCTGCCCCAAGCATAACAAACTTCTTCAGCAACTTACTCCCACAATAGCGCTAACCTTTCTTATTTATTTCTCCTCTTATTTGTTGCTCCTCTCCATCTCATCAGTCACTCTTCTGAAAATAAGATCAAAACATAAACCCTGGGTTCTTTGACACTGATGACTACAGAGCATTCCTTCTCTATCCTTGCTTCCAACCTTCTCAACCCAGCTTGCTCTACTGCCTACACCATTCAAATCTCAGCCATACAAAGTGGGAAGCCCACTCCATGCATGCCAGTTCATATCTTCCTTACTGGACCACTGTGAAGCTAAGCATGTTGACTGCCCAGGATTTTGACTCTCTGGGTCTTGGCTTAAACGCATCAGTGACATCCTCTTTCATTTCTTATGCCTGGTTCTTTTAAGAATAGCACAACCTTTTGATTTCACCATCAATGTTGTTGATTTCTATGCTTCTGTCCTTGACACACAGCGTGGTGATAGTTTTATAACTTTATGCGGTCCATCTCATTTACTCTGAGCCTTTCTAACACCCAAATGCAGACAATTGCTAAATTCCTATTTGTAGGTCAGCTCTTCATTGGCTTTGAACTACTGTGTCTCCTGCTGTGTAGCTTTCACACACCGCAAATTACTAGCAGTATAAACTGTGTGTACCTTCTCTACAGCTACACCTGTGTCTGCCCCTTTTTTCTCTAATTGAGTTGATGGCACCAGACCTTGTCAGATCATCAAAATTAGAAAACACACTTGAGACTTTTATAAGTAAATGGATGCAACAAGAGGGTATGCTCAGAAGTGAAATAAATCAGGTCTGCATGTGTAAGCAATGTATTGTCTCCCTAGAGTTATGAACCTGAGAGAGTAAACAAAATCTGAAAGGTAAAATAGATATAGTAAAAGGGTAAGAAACTTCTCGAAAGGAAAATCACTCTTTTTCTCTCCCAGATCCTACTGGATTGAGAAGCAGCCAGAAGGTATCACTAGCTAATGGAAGATCAACCCCAAACACAGGCTTCTGGCAATAATGGTTTGGACAGTGTGGCTTGGAAGTGAGGCCAAAATGGGAATCTCTGGCTCCTGTCTATGAGGCAGACTTTAAATGACCTGATTATCTCCTTCGCCCTCTCTGCAGGCAGAAAATGTAGACAAATATCTACCCCGTGTGGTTCAGGAAGGAGGATCTGCGTTACTCAGCTTACCACATGGGGAGTGAAAGCTTTTGCATCTTGGGCACAAAGACTGCAATGAGGAGACTTCAGCACAGTGACCCCTCTGGTGACTTGAGAGCCAGTGGCTATGGCTCTCCTCAGTTGTGTCAATCTGATGATGTGATATGCAACGAGAAAGGTGGACCCTGCCTCCCTAATGTTTCCCTATAGGCCAGAAGGAATTACAGGGAGCTCTTTCCTCAGTGAGTCCAGGTAGGTACATAAGAGGAGGGGAGAGGAGGGCAGGGCAGGGCAGGAGAGTGGAGAGGGGAGGAGAAGGGAGGAGAGCCCAGGCAATCAGAGTCCAGCTCCCGCAGGTTGGTCCCATGACTTTGGGCACACTAAGTCACCTGTCTGCCTCCACTGAGGCAAAGCTGAGCCCCTGGCCTGCCATGGCTCTGGTTGCACCGAGAGACTCTGATGTAGCTGTCCATTGGGTCCTCCCCATCATGGTTCACAGTAGCTCTAACTGAACCCAGTCACTGCCTTTCTCCTTGTCCCTTTAGGTTTGAGAGTAGAAAGAGCTTCACAGAGATGCTGACTCCTAGAGGTTTCACCCTGTCTTCCTTCTCTGAGCTGCTGCACTCTGGAATCCAGCAGAGAAGAGGTGGCCCATTCAGAGTAAGATAATGAGAGGAGAGTTAATATACAAAGGCCTTAATTAGAAAGGTGAGGCCAGAATAGAGGGAATCCTAAGGAATCCTTCAGGAATTCAGGGCCAGTGGAAGTAAGCGCTGCCATTCTTCCATGCTCAAAGGGATGAGAAGAGCCCGAGGAAGTGAATTAATTTGATATGAAAGGCAGTGGGCTTGAAAGGATCTTTCAACATTTGTGGAGGAGCACAGCTGACTTGAAGGAGTTCCAAAGGACTAAATATTGCTATTGTATCTCTTCTCCCTCTCCCTGACCTCCTACTTCTGCTGGCGGTCCTCAGCCAGAGGGCACGGGAGGTCACTGATGTAGCCCAAGCACAGAAGCGCTTCCCTCAACCCAAGCAAAGCAGGAAGAGGGGGATAAGGAAGGGCTCCAGCCCACCTATCCACACCTTCAGAGCTGGTTTCTTTATTCGGCTCTCTCTAAACCACTCTGAGTGCTCCATCTGCTTCTTGCTATTTTGGGCCTAAAAAAAAATAAACACACTTTGTAAACGGGGGAGGAGTTGATGAATTTAGAAAGAGCTGTTATTGTATTGTTGTCACCATCTTCTTTTGGGTTGGGAGTGCAGGTTTAGACCTCACACAGGATTCTGAGCTTATGTGTTCATTCTCTTCCTGAGACCCCACATGGCAATAGGAAGAAAACTGTGGTCTCCTCCTTGTTCAGGGAACCAGTCCTTTCCCTGCACCAGCCTACTTGATTCTGAGTCATGTGCTGCTTGCGTGAAGCTCCTTCAGTGTCCTCCAAGGCCTGTCCCTTTGCACTGATGATACTTCTGCTTTGATCTCTACTACATATTGGAGTTCCTGTGCTCTCCCTACCTCTCGGCAAATATCTTGCAGCTTTGTGACTCAATGCCTCCGACTACTTGGGTCTGTCTGGAATACTTTCCCAGCCTCTTTCCCTGATCAACCTCTGTGTCCTAAGAGCATTAATGGAATGAGAGCATGGACATAATTACAGATGAGGAAACGGAGGCTCAGCAACCCTAACTAGCTTGCTGTAGATCTCATAGCTAGTAAACGCAGATGTGACAGGTGAACACTTGCCCTTCTGACTTCCTAGCTTGGATTTCTCCCATCAGATAATGTAACCTCCCTAGAAGGGCCTTCAGAAGAGTTAGAATTCGGGAGGGAAGAGCAAGCAGAGATGGAGCTGAATGCTCCGGTGTCTGGAGTGATTCTGAGCATGTCCTTTGCTGCTCTATCTGGGACACACCGAGGGCCTACATGAAAAGGACACATAAGTTTGGCAGCCAGGGGCTCTGGCGTCTGTTTCTTTTAAAATTTTATTGATTAAAAAATAAATGAAATTTTATTGGTTGGTTGATTGATTGATTGGTACAGGGCCTCACTGTGCAGTTCAGACTTGTAGTGATCCTCCTGTTTCAGCCTCCCCAGTGCTGGAATTATAGGCATGTGCCACCACACAGGGTTCCTGGGCTGTCATGGCTTGTGTTACTAGGGACTGAACTTGGGCCCTTGCACTTCCTAGGCAGGTTCTTACACTGCTGAGCTCTCTCCCTAGCCCTCTGCTCCTTTTTGAGCAAGGCCCATGGAATCAGGCCCTCAGCAGTGAGGTCCATAAAGATGTGTGCAGTTCAGCCGAGCAATGCCGCCACGTCTTCTGTCAGTCAGCCATGACTGCATTGCCATCCGAGGGACACAGCCTTGGCAGAGCAGGACAGAGTGGCCATTTGGCATTACTCTAATGCAGCAAAACTCACAAACATCCTCAGATAATCAGAGGCTTGTATCACTGTTCATATTTGTGGTAAAAGGAGGAACTAAAAACCACCTTTACCTCTTACGGTAACAGGACATGAAATTGGAGTACTTAAAGGTTACAGTAGTCCTCCCCCTACTAGGCCTTCACTATTTTTTCTTTGTATTTTAGGGAAGGTTCTACAGGGTGTTCAGGGTCTCACTGCTAGATTGGACTCATAGTGATCCGCCTGTTTACAGCCTCCCAAGAGCTGGGATTACAGGCGCGCAGCACCACGCCCAGTCTCAAAAGTTCAGAAGGATTTTTTTTTTTTTGGCTGGCTCAAGATGCCTTAAGAGCAGGTCTGGTAAGGCATGAGGATCTGGGGATCGAACCACAGTATCCTGAGCCTGACCGCCTTTGCTTAAGCAGGCACTTAAACAACTGAGCTAATTGGCAGGCCCCTACCATCGCTTTATCTACTAAACTTTTCTTTCTTTCTCTTTCTCTGTTCTATGTCACATACGCAAGTGTACACAGGACAAGCTGGACCCTAGTCTTGTCCAGCCCCAAGTTAGCTTGGGCAGCAGCATGGCAAGTGGGATGAACCTGGAACTGAGGTGCAGTGTCACTTGAAGAATGTGAG